ACCCCGCCGCCGGCGTCGAGGAAGAGCGGGACCTCGTCTGCTGCAACGTTCTCATCAGTTGTCAATATATTCGTCTTCCGCGCGTCGACGGACAGACCAGCTCTGCTCAGTTCCTCCACGAGGCAATCGAGCATGAACACTGCATCCTCATGCGACCGAGCAAATAGAAGTAGATCGTCTGCATATCTGATGTTAGTCAAACGATCACTCTGCGGGCTGAGCAGGAGACCGCAATTGCCAAGCCGAGCCTGCCACGGGCACATGACCGCTTCCAGCGCAGCGTTGAAGAGCATTGGACTAATCACGTCACCCTGTCTGACCCCGCGTTCTATGTCGAACTGGCAGCTGTCCATAAGTCCGCGTTGAGCTGTGTACAAGCATTGGAGCAGCGCGCGGTACTCGACAGGGACCCCTTGCTCTGACAGGGCAGCGAATAGTGCACGGTGTTCAAGTCTGTCGAACGCCTTCGTCAAATCGATGCTCACGATCCATACCGGCGAATCAAATTCAATTGACTTCTGAATAACGTTCTCGAGTATTAAGAGCGCGTGTTCTGTCCCAGTGGCGGATCGAAATCCCAGCTGCTCTGGCGGCTGGCGGGGCTCCAGGATGGCTTTGAGACGGTCGTGCAAGATTCTGGCGAGGATCTTGTATGCAATATCCAAAATAGCCAGTGGTCTCCAGTTGTTGGGGTCCAGAGCGTTGCCAGCCTTGGGAATCATCACATACAACAGCTCCTTCCAGTCGTTGGGGAAGACACCCGTGTGCACGACGCCGTTCAGACATGCAACCAGGGCTGATTGGGCAAGAGGGCCCGCATGGCGAAACATTTCCAACAAAACACAACGTTTATCAGGACATCTTTTGCCGGCCATCGATTTGAGAGCTGTCTGCAATTCCCATGGCGTTATATCTGGCATCCGCCATGGCTGCGAAGTGTCTTGGGGAGGTGGCGCGTCGGCCTCTGACGAGTAGACGTTCTGCAGCATGGTGGCGAAGGCTTGCGGGTCAGGTCGCAGCGCAGCTTTGCCCTGCAGGCTCCATAGAGAGTGCCGGGATCTTCTTCACATCTAAAAAGAGCTCAAGTTGTGCGCGGATTTTCTGTGTCTGCCACTCCCTCAAAGCTTTTCTCGTGCCGCTGGCTATCAACTTGGACAACCGGCGTCGTTCGGCAATGTCCGAGCACTGCCGGCGTTGGCGCCGTAGTTCTTGAAGGTCATCGTTGTGCCATGGCTTCCGGCATTTCTGGGGGGGCTCCAACGCCCCAGACACACATGCCGCATCAACCGCAACTTTCTGTAGACCTTGAACTGACCAGCCAGGACAACCCTCCATCATGGTCTCTACTGTCCCCTGATACTGGGAAGACCCTCGCCACTTCGCACGTCTTGGTCGAGCGGGCCTCTCCGCAAGCGGCCCCAATATATCAATGCATGACACGGCGCTCTGGTGACCTGAGCCGAGGTCAAGCTGGTTTGACGCCTCGGCCGCGCTAAAGCAGAAAGTGTTGTCGACGAGAATGTAATCCAATTGCCGTCGCTTTCCCAATGTGCTCTCGAAAGTCCATTTGTCTTCCCAGGGAATATTCTCATCGTCTGTCGTGATGGTTAGCTTGTGCTCTGAAGCAAACCCACGGAGCAGGTCACTGCGTAGGCCTAGCCGGAGTTGCGTGTTGAAGTCTCCACCAATCAGCACCTTCCTACCAGAACGTGCGGCTTCAGCCACAAGATCTTGCAGCTCTGCGTAGAGATCAAGTAGACGAGCGTGGCCGTAACCAAGGTGAGGAGCGTAAACAGCGAAGATCCGAAAGTTGTGCCCCAAATGGTTATCAATGTCAACCGCAGTGATTCTTCCAGACTGTAAACGAACTCTGCGGAATTTGCCAGCGAGATCTGCATGCAAAAGTATAGCGGTACCTGTAAGGCGCGCTTCGCCCAACGCGGAAATTAGGCGGTGGCCTCCATGAGTATATCATCAGTTTCTGCGGCCCTTGTCTCGCAAAAGCAAACAATACTCCATTTCACCACATCGAGTTCCGCAAGTAAATTAGCCAGCCCCGTGGGAGAACTGATCCTTGCATTTTTGCAGAAGGTCCAAAGAGGCTGCCGAAAACGTTCTAGATTGGACGGGTTCGTGACCGATCGGGGTAGATCCTAAAAGGACCGTTTCCCCTTGCCTCTGCCGAGGCCCATGCTTGGAGCAGAGCTTCGCTGCAGCTTTTCCTTCGCCGCGTCGAGCAGGTCAGTGACGGTCTTGTTCGTACCGTCTGGCATGAGGTATGTCTCCCACTCCACGCCATACTCAATAGTAGGCGTCTTATTGTCCACGGTCATTTTGATTACGAGGTCGCTCCCGCATGACAAACTCATGGTTGAGGTATCTGCCCAAAGGCTTTCCTTGTCGAAGCCCCAGTCGATCAGCATCTTCTTGACTCCGAACAAGACGCTCTGCAACGCTCTTGTCTCGAGAGGTTACTCCGGTTTGGCCCGCACTTTCTGCCCGCCGTATTCTAGCGAGGCCTTGCGGACGGCTTCTACCGCAGCGTCCCGTTCGACTGCAGATGAGTACTTGCCGAATGCGACCCCATTGAACGAATTGAACTCGCCTTTGATGTAAGTCTGAACTGGCGGAGTAGCCTTCGCATCTGCCAGAACCCTCCACGGCACCACGGAAACCACCAAATACGGCAGTATGATCTATCTGGTTAGTAGGGCCGCTGGAGTTCGTGTTCTGGTTGGTCGCGCTCTTGAGCATAGCAACCTCCATCTCCAGAGCCTTGATCTGGTCCCAGACCTCTGTCTCTGTCCGGGAGCCTGCACACGAGCCTTCCGAGTTCTCCAGATTCGTGAGGCGAATACCCACATCCTCCAAACGTGCTTCGGAGGCTGTCATCCGCGCCTCGATCGTCCCTCCGAGCTCGGACACCTGGCGCTCCAAGCCGGTTACCGCGTTCCTCAGCGGTTGGACTTCTTGTTCCAAGAGGGCCGCTATCTCCTGGAGTGTAGGTGCCTGCTGCGGCTGCTGCTGTGGCTGTGCTGGTGCTCCACGTGCTGCATCCTGCGGTGTACTCGGTGTTGCGATCGAATGCTGCTCTGCCTGCCGAGGGGGAGAGGGATCGCGCGCACCATCCATCTCGTGTAAAGGGCTGAAGAGGCGCTGACGGACATCACGCTGCAGGTCCTTGCCTACCGGGGTCCCCGGCTGGCGGGTGTTCTGCCTTCGCTCCGTTGCCGCCGCCATCGCACAGCAAGTTCCGATGGAGAGACTGAGAAGCAAGAAACAGAATGCGACAACGAACATGTGGCAATGTGTGGTGATTGACCGCCCCGGCGACAGGCCTTTGCAGACTGACCGCCCCAGCGACAAACTTTGATACGATAGCGCGTGCGTTCGTGCCACACAGCTTGAGCCAAAATGGCTACCGAAACCGGGTGACACACGCAACCGTGTGAGGGGTGTGCCGAAAAGGGGCGGCGATGCCATGCGGACCCTGCCACTGGGGGCCGTCGGTGGAGCTCCCTATAGGGCCACGAACCGCGTGAGGGGTGTGCCGAAATGCATGCGGACCCTGCCAATGGGGCCTTCGGTGGAGCTCCCTATGGGGCCACGAACCGTGTGAGCGGTAAGCTAAAATTTGGCGGCGGTGCCATGCGGACCCTGCCACTGGGGCCTTCGGTCGAGCTCCCTATTGGGCCACGAACCGTGTGAGGGGTGTGCCGAAAAAAGGCAGCGGTGTCATGCGGACCCTGCCACTCGGGCCTTCGGTGGAACTCCCCATGGGGCTACGAACCGTGCGAGGGGCCAAAAATGGGGCGGCGGTGCCATGCGGACCCTGCCACTGGGGCCTTCGGTGGAGCTCCCTATGGGGCCACGTACCGTGTGAGAGGTGTGCCGGAATGGACATGCGGAGGACAGAGGCAGGGATGGGAGGAGAGGCGCAGATGGGAGATGAGGGGGGAGGGGGGAAGGGGCAGGAATACTCTTCGACCGCGTGTGTAACAGCGCACGCCTGCGGAAGGCCTCAAGCCCAAGACTTGGAGAGAACATGCAAATATGCTGATGCCCAATACTTCTGGACGACTGGGGGGTCTGCAGAAAACCCAGCCCTGGGAAAAGCAACTTCCGCCCCCAAGACCTCCAAGCGTCGCAACCGAAACATCCGATAGCACGTCTTCGACATCAGAAGGGCCCACTTCGGGCCTCGGAACTATGAACAACACAACCCGCAACGAGAAACTTGTCCCTGGGGCCCCCTCCGCCCCTTCCTCCTCCCCCTCCTCCTCCCCCTCCTCCTCCTCCTCCTCCTCCTCCTCTTCCTTCTCCTCTCCTTTTTGCCAAACAGGATAAAACAGGGCGCACGCGAACGCTCGTTCGTTTCCCTCGTGTCTCGGTCGCCTGCTGGCGCAAGGTGCCGTTCGTCCGCAGGGGGCGAAGTATGCCGCCCAGGTAAAACCTCACTGAAGCCCCTCGGGAGGCGTGTGGCTGACGTTTCCTGTGTTGTGGGTCTTGGGGCGCGCGCGCCAGCGCCGCCGACGATGGCGACGGCGACCGCGACGGCAGCGATCACGACGACGGCCGACGACGACGGTGACAGCGACCACGGCGACACTGACGGAGACCGCGACGACGGCGGCGACCCCTCCACGGCCACAGCGACGGTAACGACGGCTGCGCCGACGCCATTGACGACGATGACGGGCACGACTGAAATCCTCTCAGAGGCGGCCGTTGGACCGACCCCTCTCAAGGTCCACCCTGGCGGTTTCTCGAACCGCGCCCGGCCGCGCAAGCGAAAGCCTCCAGGCACGCCCGGGAAAAGAGGAGGAGGAGGAGGAGGAGGGGGAGGAGGAGGAGGAGGAGGAGGGGGAGGAGGAGGAGGAGGAGGAGGAGGGAGGAGGAGGAGGAGGAGGAGGAGGAGGAGGAGGAAGAGGGAGGACGAGGGAGGAGGGGGCGACAGCGACGGGAGTGGCAACGGCGGCAGCGCCGTCGGCGGCGCGGACCCGTGGCCACCAATGCCAGGAGGGCTCCGCGCATCGAGTCTGGGGCTCGCGATGGGGCTCGCCAAGGCCTTTAGGGGCATCAGTCTGTCCTGCCGCGCGACGTGGGGGTGCCGCCGCCACCTCCGCCGACGTCGTCGTCGTGGTTATCGCGGCTGTCGCGGTGTCCGTCGTCGCGGTCCGCCGCCGTCGCCGTCGCCGTCGCGGTCGTCGCCGTCGCCGTCGTCGTCGTCGTCGTCGCCGAGGTCGTCGCCGTCGTTGTCGTCAATGTCGTCGTCTTCGTTGCATTTCTGGGGGTGTTCGTCGGCGTGACTGGATGCGGCGCGAAGAACAGGTCTTGGTCTGGTGACCAGGGTTGAACTTTGAGCGGACTTTGGCAGGAGGGCAACGTCATCGTCGTCGTCGTCGTCGTCGTGGTCGTCGTCGTGGTCGTCGTGCTCCTCTTTCTCCTCCTCGGATTTCTCCTCCCGCTCCTTTCCTTCCCCGCCCCTCTTCCTTAGGAATGCCTCCTCCGTCGCGCCCCAGGCGTGTCGGTAGAGCGGGCTGGGCGTTTCGCCAAAGTCTTGAAGAACGCAGCAGGTTCGCGGACGTAGGGTGAATGGTTTTCAAATGTGGCTCTCGCCTTAGCGCGCGCCGCGCGCAGTTCGTCATAACGTATTGCAACAACTTCAAAGATGGAGGGCGGGTGGTTTTCATAATGTGGCGCTCGCCTTAGCGCCGCGCAAGAGTTTCAAGGATGGCGGGCCGCTTTCAAAATGTGGCTCTCGCCCGAGCGCCGCGCACATTCGTCTCCCAACGTTTGCAACCGCTTCAAGGATGAGGGCGTGCGGTTTTCGAAATGTGACTCGTGCCTGAGCGCCGCGCACATGCGCCATAAAAGCTTGCACCAACTTCAAGGATGGCGGGCACGTGGTTATCAATCTGTGGCTATAGGCTTAGCGCCGCTCATCTTTGTCAAAGGAGGTGGCTCCTTTCCAAACTTTGGCTCTCGCATTCGCGCCGCGCAGATTTGTCGTACAAATTTGCAACTGTTTCAAGTGTCCGTGCGTGAAGTGTCCCAGGGATGGCGTCTTGCCGAGACTTATGATTGTCTAGCCGCAACGATCACATTGATCGGCGGCGTTGAAGCCCCAGGAGTGGTGTTCTGGCAAAATTTAAAACTGTCAGTGCGCAACAGTCACGCTGCTACGCGGCGTTGAATTCCCAAGAACTGTGCTTTGGCACCGTTGGGTGTTAATAGACGGTTGTCTTCCAATCGGGCACTTCCTGCCATTAAAGTAAACAGTTTACTTTGGTGGGGCCTATGAAGTCGGAAGGATCGATTCTTGCAACATCACTGCTGCGTCTTGGGTTTGCACTGGTCTTCCTCCTCCTCCTCCTCCCATCCCTCACCCTTCCCTCCGTCACTGAGGGGCCCTCCGAGGGGGCGAAGCTCGTGCCGCCCCGAGACACGCGGCGGAAGAGGAGGCAGGGGGGGGTGATGATGCGACGCGCGGCTTCGCATGGTGCGTGCGTGCTCGATGAGAGCGAGGACAACAGGCCAGGCGGGTGGCGCACTGGATCCCACGACGATCCACCGACTTGCGCCACCGCCTGGCCTATAGTCCCCGAAGTAGAACAAAAAAGGCCGGGGGAAGGCAGGGGGGGAGGAGGGAGGGGGATCTCGGAGAAGCGAGGAGGGAGGGAGGGAGGGAGGGAAGGAGGGGAAGGAGGAGGAGGGAGGAAGGAGGAGGGAGGGAGGGAGGGAGGGAAGAGGAGGGAGGAAGGAGGGGAGGAGCAGCAGCTGGCCTCCCTGCAGGAGGGCTACACTGCAGCTGCTCCGCGGGCTCCGCGCACGCGCGCCCGCCCCAAAGGGCGCCGGCCTCGGACGCCCGACGGCCCTGCTCGCCATCGCTCGGACGTCCATTTCCGGTGTGTTTGTTTCGGTCTCGTGCGTGGCTTTTTCGCCAAATGAGCAAGGGTGCCTCCTCCTCCTCCTCCTCCTCCTCCTCCTGCTCCTCGAGGGCCCTCGCCGAAGGAAAAAGTGCACACGTCCGAGCAAGGGTGCCTCCTGCTCCTCCTCCTCCTCTTCCTCCTCCTCCTCCTCCTGCTCCTCGAGGGCCCTCGCCGAAGGAACAAGTGCACACGTCCGAGCGATGCCAAGGCCTGCCTGCCCCGAGCCACGAGCGCTCCGGAGGAGCCCCCCCTCTCGCACAGGGGCTCCGACGTCGGAGGCGGAGAGCCGGAGGATCGCGCCGCCTCGCCGGCGCACGGGCGGCGCGCCGGCGCGGCGAACTTTCAGGCCTCACATCGAGCCGCATCGCCGATGCATCGGGCGATGCGGCGCGATCCCCCGACCCCCCCTGCTTAGATCCCATTCTGCATGACGGCTCAAGAGCCGAGCCGAACCGGCCGAACCGAACCGGGCCGAACCGATCCTCCGACCCCATCTCCGCGGACCCCAAAGGTCGGCGACACGCGAAGGGGGCCAAGCCCAAGCGCGCAAGACGCCTCTGCCGGCTCGCGTTTGGCGTTCGGGGGGCCCCAATGGGCCCGCACCAAAGGTCACTCCAGCGAAGATCCCATCTGCATGAATGCTCAAGAACCGAACCGAACCGGCCGAACCGAACCGGGCCGAAGCGGTACGAACCGCACGTTTTGTCACCAGGAACCGGACCGAACCAGAACCGAACGAAACCCAATTTCGAAGCGAACCGAACCGCATTCGATTTCGAACTGATCGAACTGGGCCGAACCTGACGGAACCGCACAGAACCGGACGTCTCCGGGGCCTTGAATTTGGCGACGTGGAGGAGGAGGAGGAGCCGGGCCGAACCGGGCACAACCGGACGGCACCCCTGACAACGACGAACCGAACCGAACCGGAAACTTCCGACGCCTAACCGAATCGAACCGAACCGGACCCACTTCGGAACCTAACCAGACCGAACCAAACCAGACCGTTCCTGCATCTGGGAGCTCTGAGAGCCGAGTCGCCTTCTGACGGCCGCGGGGCACAGCCCAGCGCGCGCGATCCCAGAGCTCCAACGGTTCGGCCTCTGGGTGCCCTCGCGGCGCCCCGGGGCCGCCCGATGGGATGAAAAACGGGCCCTGGGGGAGGGGTCGGGATGCCGGGGAGCCCACGTTGCAACAAAAACAATGCGTCGGATGCTCGGGGTTCGTTCTACTTGGAGGCGGCCTGGGGTCTTGACTGGTTGATCCCAGAAAATCAATCGGGAGGGGGGATGAACCAAATCCGTACAACATCGGTCCCAGGACCACTCCAGGGGTTGGTTCATCGGGCGTGTATTTGCACGCCGGATCTGTTCTTTATGGTCCCAGGGCCCGAAAACGGCCCCAAGAGGTCGAAGCAGGCAGGACACACTTTTCGAACGCAGAGCCTGAGACCTGCCCGCCCTTCCTGCCGGCCAGAACCAGTGCTGGGCCACCTCAGACCCCAAGACGGCTTCAAGATGAACGACGCAGCCGTCGAACGCCGTCGTCGTCCAACCCTGTCGACGTCCAACGCCGTCGTCGTCGGACTCCGAAGTCCTCAAAGGGGCTGTCGTCGGACGCCGTCGTCCGTGGTCCTCCAGATGGCTCCAACTTTCGAGCCGCCGGGGGTCTGGCTCTCCGAAAGTCTCGAGGGGGCTCCGAGGGAGCTGCGCGGCGGTGGCCGGGGGGGTCCCCCTCCTGGCCTCCGGACCCCCAGGGGGCCAGGCCGAAGGCGCTCGAAAAGCCTGGCACTCGATGCTCGATGCTCGACCCGCGAGGGGCGTGCTTTTGTTGGTGTGTGCCGTCTTGTATGTGCATACTCTTTATACTGGCACACGCGTGTATGCACGCATACCTATATGTATATGTAGACACATGCATGTATGTATGTACGGATGTATGTATGTATGTATGTACGCATGCATGCATGCACGGATGGATGTATGTCTGTATGTAAGTATGTACGTACTTACGTAATTACGTATGTATATATGTATGGATGGGTGTATGTAGGTATGTTTGTATGCATTGAAGTGTATGTATGTATGTATGTATGTATGCATGCATACATGCATGTATGTATGTATGTATGCATGTATGGTTGTACGCATGTATGTATGTATGTATGTATGTATGTATGTATGTATGTATGTATGTATGTGTGTGTGTTTGTTTGTATGTGGGTATGTATGTATGTATGTATGTATGTATGTATTGGATGTATTGGATGCATGTATGTAGGCGTGCATGTATGTATGTATGCATATATGCATGAATGCAGGTATGCATGCATGTATACATGCATGCAGCCATGTATGCAGGTATGCATGTATGCATGTATGTATGCATGTATGTGTGTATGTATGGATGCACGTATGTACGTATGTATGTATGCATGTATGTATGTGTACACGTATGTATGTATATACGTACGTACGTATGCATGCATGCAGGTATGTATGTATGTAGGTAGGTAGGTAGATAGGTCGGTAGGTATGTATGTATGTACGTGCGAACGCATGTCTGTATGTATGTATGCTTCCATGCATGCATATATGTTTGTGTGTATGTATGTGTGTATGTATGTATGTATGGATGCATGCATGCATGCATGCATGCATGTATATATGTGGGGATGTATGTATGCATACATACATGCATATATGGATGCATGTATGCATGCATGTCTGTACGCACATATGCATGTCTGTCTGTCTGTCTGTCTGTCTGTCTGTCTGTCTGTCTGTCTGTCTGTCTGTATGTATGTGCATGTGTGTATGTATGCATGCATGCATGCATGCATGCATGTATGCATGTGTGCATGTATGTATGTGCTGTTGCTGAGCGTCGGAGCGACTGCCTCACTTGATCTCGCGGCAATGCTCCTACTTGCAAGCATTCAACACAGAGTAAAAGACAGCCTGAACAGAGAGGAGGGTGGAGGAAGTTCCGCGAGGGGAGAGAGGAGAGTGGGGGGGGGAGACCCTCGAACCGCGATCCTCGACCGCTCCGAGAGGGGTGAGGAGGGCGGTGGCAGGCGGGCGAATCTCGAACCGCGATCTTCGACAGCCCATGCTGGAGGGGGGAGGGGGCGGTGGAGGGGGACCAACCTCGAACCGCGCCCCGAGGGGAGGGTGGGAGGAGGGCGGCGGAGGGGGAAAGGATGGAGGGAGCCGAAGACACCAATGGCGCGCGCGCGCCGGCCGGCGAGAGAAGGCGCGTCTTGTGTGGCACAGAGGGGTGGCGGGCCGAGGCCCCCTCGGGCAGCAACACAAACATACACGGCATAGTTTAAGGGGCCCTGGGACACACACATAAATACACACAAATCAACATCATCCCCATATTTTCCTATTTTTTCTGGGTTTCTGTCTTCCCCCCACTTCCAATATTTTTCCATATTTTCTGGGGAGTCGACGATTAATTGTGTCTGAAAGTTTCTTTCCCTCCTGAATCATGATTCTCACAATCGTCAACCTCTGAGGGTCCTTGCCGGGCCCTGGGGCTGGCCCTGGGGCTATCGAACAAACAGGCGGTGAAAGGCTGATCCCGGGGAATGGGTCGAGACCTTGGGGCGGGGGTCCCCGTTGAAGACATCAGGACGTTGGGGGTCTGGGGAGGGGGCGTAATTAGGGCTCGGGGCGAGCAGAGCGAAGCTCCCTGATGCTTCAAGTGCGGTTCCCCTCCTCACATCCTCGCCCGCGCCGTGCCGCCAAAGAGATGTATGCCTTCCACCCCCCTGGCTTTTGGCCATGGCCAGGGGCCGGGGCCTCGAGAGTCTGGGCCACAGTGACGAGCCGATCCGCAGCATCGCGCCTCGAGAAGGGGCTTGTCCTTTGCCTCCCACTCCCGTCGTTTCCCACTCGGGCGCTTCAGGAATTGCACCGCGCCGCCGAGGGCGGACGCAAGCGGGACGCGGATCGCTGCTGCGCGCGAGCCCTGGCTGCAGGCGGAGGAGAGGAGCATCTTACGAGTCTGCGGCAGACTGGCACCCTGGCGATTGGATGCTAGATGCTTCTAATCGTGGCCGACGAGATAAATCACCAGGGTTTTTGCTTCGAATTCCGGTATCGGTCGCTCTGGTACCGGTCGCGACAGACCTGGTTCATAATCGATCACGATCTGTCGCGACCGATTTGGAGTGCCGATCAATCTCTCGGCATTAACAACAAAACACTGTCCCCTCCCCCGGGAACAGCCGTTGATTGGCGGCCGGCCAGTAACCGCGGGCCGTTCCCAGTGGGAGTGGCTGCGCAAGGGGCCTCCAGACTGCGCTTCCCGGGTGTGCGGCGGCCGCGGCGAAGAGACGAGGAGGGACGAGGAAGGGAGGAGGATGATGGGGAATGGATTGGACCGGTCGAGGGAAACAGACAACAACGAGCCCCTGGGCATCAAGCGTGCGACGGGTGATTTTCCATCCTGCAGAACGCAGGAAACACTAAGTACCCCGGGCGTCCCATAGTTAGACAAGGGATTTAGAGAGGGTCCGATACCCGATACCTTGGCTGGCTGTCTTTTTCTGGATGGTAAGTCTTCCGGCAGCCCGCTTCCAGCGGGGTCTGGCCTTGGGAGGAGGAAGAGGAGGGGGGACGGAGGGGGAGGCGCGAACGAGGGGCGGGGGCAGAGGGGAGAAGGTCCTCGTGGCCCTGTTCGTCCTGCATGAGGCTCTGGCCGGAGGAGGCGAAGGAGTGGACGGACCCCCTTGGCGGAGCAGCCCTCTCTGTCTCGCTGTTTCCTTCTTTCTTTCTCTCCCTCTCTCTCTCTATCTTCCTTTTTCTGTTGTTTCTTTCTCTCTCTCTCTCTCTCTCCTCCCCAGACTCCCTCTCTTTCTCTCTCCTGCCTCGTATCTTTTAATGCTACCTCTCTGCCTCTCTCTCTGTCTCTATCTCCCTTGTGCCGTTCCTTCTCTCTTCGTCATCTGTTTTGATGTTCTCTCCCTCTCTCTCCATATATATAGAAGCACCCATACGACCACCCTTCGGGTGATGAGGACGTTGGGGGTTGGGGAGAAAGAACCAACTGCTGGCAAATGCGACGGGCGTGATGATGACGATGCTGTTGACGCGCCCTCGAGTTAGCGACGACGCGTGATGACGACGTTGCGCTGCGATGGAATGCCACTATCGTCCCCTCTGTCGGTCTCACTCGGTCTATGCCACTATCGACCTCACAGGATCGATGACACTAGTTCGATCCCACTATATATCTCACACCGATCTCACTATCGACTTCGCGTTCGATCTGACTGTCGATCTCACTATCGATCTCACTGCCGATGCTTCTATCGATCTTAGCATCGATCTCACGATCGATCTCACAACCAATGTCACAATCAACCTCACTGTCGAACTCGCTTGTGAACTCACTATCCATCCCACTCTAGCGATCTCAAAGGCGGGACCCCCCGTGGCCACCGCCTGCCCACCGCCGACGGAACACCGACCGGACACCAACGGGAGATCATCGACGGGACACCACGAGACGCCATGGCTGGACACCCCGGGCCACCGCTCGCCCACCGTGGACGGAGGGGCGGTCCACTGCATCCGAATCGCCCTGACGACGGCGGGGTCTTTCCCCTCGCGGGCCCACGCAGCTTCGCCGCGCCCGCACGCAGGAAGCGAACACGAAGCCGAAACCGATTTCCCAGTGGGGGGCTCTCCGTCCCACTGCGACCTCACCCCCCCAACCTCCAACCCACAGCTATGTATACATACCTATACGACCACCTTTCGGGTGATAAGGAGGTTGTGGGGGGGGGGAGACGGGGGGGGACCAACATCCGACTCAATCGATCTCACTATCGATCTCACTCAACGGGACACCACGGGACACCACGGGACACGTGTCGATCTCACTATCGATCTCACTATCGATCTCACTCCACGGGCCACCACGGGACATCACGGGACACCACGGAACACCGCGGGACACCTCTCGATCTCACTATCGATCTCACTGTCGATCTCACTATCGATCTCACTCAACGGGACACCATAGGATACCCCGGGACACCACCGGACGCCTCGGGACACCACATCGATCTTTCTATCCATCTCACGATCGATCTCACTATTTGGGACACCTCGGGGCACCATATCGGTCTTACTATCCATCTCACTATCGGCCTCACTTTTTGAGACACGACGGGGCACCACGGGACGCCACGGGACACCTCGGGGCACCACATCGATCTCACGATCCATCTCACTATCGATCTCACTATCAATCCCACTAACCGGGACACCACGGGACACCACGGGACACCTGTCGATCTCACTATCGATCTCACTATCGATCTCACTTTTTGGGACACCACGGGACACCATGGGACACCGCGGGACACGACATCGATCTCAGTATCGATCTCAATATCGTTTTCAGCATCGATCTGGGTACTGATCTCACTCAACGGGACACCACAGGACACCACGGGACACCGCGGCACACCGCGAGCCACCACCATACGGGCGGGCGGGGGAGAATCATTTGTCTTGACTTCGCCCTAGCAACGGCGGACACCACGGGACACCACGGGACACCATTGGGAACCGTGGGACACCGCGAGCCACCGCTGGACGGGCGGGAGGGGGATAATCATTTGTCTTGGCTTCGCCCTAGCAGCGGCGGGTTCGTTCCTCTCGCGCGCCCACGCAGCTTCGCCTCGCCCGCACGCACGACACGAACGAAACGAAACGATTTCCCGCTTTGGGGTCTCCGTTCCACTGCGATCTCACCCCCCAACCTCCGATCGATTTCTCTATTGATCTCACTCAACAGGACACCACGGGACACCACGGGACACCACGGAACACCACGGGACACCACGGGACACCGCGGGACACCGCGGGCCACCGCCGGACGGGCGGGAGAGGGAGAATCATTTGTCTTGACTTCGCCCTAGCAGCGGCGGGTTCAGTCCTCTCGCGCGCCCACGCAGCTTCGCCTCGCCCGCACGCACGACACGAGCGAAACGAAACGATTTCCCGCTTTGGGGTCTCCGTTCCACTGCGATCTCACCCCCCAACCTCCGACCCCTCTCTGTATATAGACGTATGTGTTCTCTCCCTCCCTCCCTCCCTCTCTCTCTCCCTCTCCGTCTCGCTGTTTCTCCCTCTTCCTCTCTCTCTCTCGGTCTCTCACTCTCTCTCTCTCTTTCTCTCTCTCTTTCTCCGTCTCCCCCTTTCTCTCTCTGTCCCTATTCCTCTCCATGTCCCTACTTGTTTGATGTTTTCTCTCTCTCTCTCTCTCGATTCTCTCTCTCTCTCTCTCGCTCTGTCTGTTGCTCTCTCTCTCTCTCTCGGTCTCTCTCTCTCTCTCTCTCATTCTCTCCCACCTTGTCCTCAGATGCTTTGTATCGTGCTGCCGCTCTCTCTCTCTCTCTCTCTCTCTCTCTTTCTCTCCCACTCCAGCTACTATCTCTAGACAGGTATATATATATGTATATATATATATAACAAAATGTACATGATGTTAGCCAGCGTTGACCCCAATCAGTGATTCTGTGTTTTAATAACGAATGGTGTGCAATAGATGTAAAAACACGACTGTGGTGCAACCTATCAAGGGGGCATATGGGCTGTGAAGACGACGTGGTGCAAATTATTTCGAGCCATCGGGTAGGTGCAATGTATGTGGTGCGATCTATGTTGATGATCATAACGAAGGTGGTGTTCATGGTTCATGTGGATGATAATGCTGTTTTGCACGGTGGTAATGATATTGCTGCTGCTGCTGATGATGCTGCTAGACACGACGACGATGACGATGATGTTTTGGATGATTATGATGATGGCGACGATGTTGGTACATGTACTGATGATGATGCTGATGATGATGGTGATGGTGATGATGGTGATGATGATGATGCTCCTGCTGTTGCTGCCGATGGTTATGATGTGGATGATGGTGATGATGATGAATATACTGATGATGCCGATTACTACTATGATGATGATGTGACGACGAGGAGGAGGATGCGGAGGTGGAGGAGAAAACAAGAGGAGGAGAAGGAGGAGGAGGAGGAGGAGGAACAGGGGAGGCTGCCATGTGCGCATTCGTGGGCTTCTGGGAGGTCCAGCGGAGGCGGTCGGAAGGCGAAACGTCGCTGTTCCCTGGGAGGCTACCAGCTGAGCCACTGTCGCCACTTCGTGGGCTCCAGGGAGGTCTAGCGGAGGCGGTCGGCAAGCGAGACCTCGCTGCTCCCTGGGAGGTTGCCAGCTACAGAAGACTGTCGCCACTTTCGTGGGCTCCTGGGAAGCCGGGAGGAGGCATCGAAACCGCGCTGCTCACTGGGAGGTTGCCAGCTGCAAAAGACTGAGGCCACTTTCGTGTGCTCCTGTCAGGTCCAGCGGAAGCGGTCGGCAGGCGGAACCTCGCTGCTCCCTGGGAGGCTGCTATCTTAGCAATCGTCGCCACCGTGGATCCTGCCTCCTCCAAGGTCATGCCCTAGATTGCGAGCCCAGCGTAGCAGCTGCAAGCCGCGGGATCCCGCATGCTTCCTGCGCTCTGCGGCAAGGCCCTTGGACGAGGTCAGGTAGCCAGACTTGGCGGGCTGCGCGATGATGCCCAGTTGCTTGGCCTCCTCGCGGAAGCGCGTGACCACGGCCCACAAGACAATGACGTTGCTGCCCGCTGTCCTGACCAACTGAAAAGGTGACGTCGTCCACGAGGCCCCTAGGAGTGACGCCCATGCAGCGCGCCCGCTCCAGCACGCGGTACATCAGCACCGACACGAGCGCGCGCGTGCGCGCGTCCAGCCAGCCCCCTTTGGTAGGACACAGCCTCGTAGGGCACCGAGCCGAACGCTTGCCGCCGCCTGGGCTGCCTGCGCAGCTCCACCAACAGCCAGACTAGCGGCAGCGGCATCTTGAGCAGCCACGCCTCCTGGATCAGGGCCTCGGGGATCACCGTCTCAAGGAACTTCCAGGCGTCCAGGGGCACGGTGACCACCTGCTCCTCCAACGCGACCGCTACCTCGGTCTCGAGGTTCAGGTCGAACGCTGCATCAGACGACGACCTGCCCGCGCCGAGCCCCCAGATGTCGACGCCGGGGTGCTGCGTGAGCCAGCTTTTGGAGATGTCCGCCCGCGCCCTCGACCGCCAGCGCACCAAAGAACGCGCGAGCGCGATGGGGCGGCACCCTCTAGAGGGCTTTGGCAGCCGACACAAGGCGTGCCACAGTCGGCCCTCAAGCGACGCGCCCAGCTTCTCCATGCGCATGCAGAGCTGCGCGCAAACATACATGCCGTCTTCGGACAGGAAGGACAGGGCACGCATGCCTATCTTGGCAGGCCCCATCGCCGTGCCCGTGGGGAATGAGAGCGCAGCCCTCTTCATTTTGTCGACGGTGAGTCTGGGCAGCGCATCCAACTCCTCAATGTCCGCAGGCCTGCGCGCCTGCTGCAGCCTATGGCGTCGCCACACCTTTGCCCGCGGCTTCATCTCCCGATCGCTCACCAGGTGCAGGCTCGCGCCCTGCCGTTGGCCATGCCAGGCCGTGATCACCTCCTGCGAGTCTCTGTCCTTGGAGTACAGATGGGCGCGGCCAGCGCCGTGGGAGAAGGACTCGTGGGCCCACTTGACCCACTCCTTTTGCTGCGCCGCGATGGCCGCTTCATGCTGACCGTTTGCGTACTCCACGACCCTCGACGCCTGGCCCGCGAAGTCGGCCTGCGCGAACATCAGCATCCGCTGGCCGAAGAAGTCCTGCACCCAGCGCGGCAGCATCGCCAGCGTGCCGCGGCTGGCGATGATCTTGTCGAGGTACGCCGCCGCCTCCAGCAGAAACCCCGCCAGCTTGTCAAACTGGGCATCGAACGGCGGGCAGAGGAGGCTGGCGCCGTGGAGTTGGCGGACCGCCTTGGCGACGTACGCCCCGACCCCCATCAGGTGCCGAGCCCGCATCGGCGCCGCGCGGCACGCCGCGGCCCGGCGACCAAGCGCGGCCCTGCGTCGAGGGGGTCGCCACTTGACAGCGACGAGAGTGGCCTCCAGGGCGCCAGACCTGCCGACGTACTTGGCCCCGTCGTGCCCTGCGACGTCGTGGCGGCCCAGGAACTCCTGTTCGAATGTAGCCACCACAGCGTCCCATGCCTCGGGGGGGTACTCTCGGTTGACGGCTACGCGCACCTTGGCCTCGACGCCGCGGCTGCAGCCCACGGGCGGTGCAGGGCCGATCGGCCGCGGGCCCCTCGCCACCCGCACCTGCATCGGAAGGTCTTGCGCGCGCATCTCCATTGCGACGGGCAGGTGCCGCGCTCGTCGACCTGCGGCCTGCCAAGCCTCTGAGCAAGGTTGGCTGTGGAGAGGAAGTAGTCCAGCGTCGACTAGGACCCAGCACGCGGCTTGCAGGTGTCGTCCTCTGCCGCCGCCCACAGCCCGCGGACCCCGTGGAGCTGCTGCGCAGGAAACGTCGCGGGCCCCACGTCGATGTCACCGCCCGCGACCCAGTCGATCCCAGCCGCGCTGAGCTTGGCCAGACACTTCATGAGAACGGCCGTCACGTGCTGGTTGTCCGCGCCCCACCCCGCGCTGTCGCGGAAGCACGCAGAGATGGCGACGAACCCGCCCGACACTCCCTAGTGCACATGGGCGGCCGCCAGACGCGCGGCCAGAAGCACGGGGCTCTCCAGGAAAGGCGGGCTGGTGACTGTGATGTGCGAGCGCGCAAGCACTGCCACCCCGCCAGAGGTGCCTGCCTCGCCGCGGGGCCCCTGGACAGCTGGCGCCCAGAACCCCGCGTTCCCGTGGTCCAGCATGGCCTGCTGCAGGGCGGCCAGCCTGTCGTGGTCCCTGGCGTGGTGCTCCTGGACCAGGAGGACCGCGGCCTCTGCGCGCTCGCAGATGCCCTCGACGTGCGGCGCCAGGGACACCCCCGCCGTCACGTTCGCCGCGCAGATGCTGCCCTTCTCCATGGCGCCAAACCACGTGCTGAGGAACAGCAGGATCCGAGTAAGGCTGGCAGCCCCCGCTGGCCAGCGCAGCGCAGCGGGCGCGTACGGCTGACTCCTCGCCGCCTTCGAGCTCCAGGTCATGCTTTCGCAGCCGCTGCTGGAGCTGCTCCACCGACTCCTCCTCAGGCTGCCAGCGCGGCACGACGGCTGAGCCGCTGCCGCCTCCAGGCACTGCTGCCTCGGGCGCTGGCTGGGACTGCCCGTCCCGCTTTGCGCCCTCACGCACCTCTCCTGCGGTGCTGGCGAGGTCCCGGCTGGCGCTGGCCTGCTCCTCGGCGGGGGCCTCTTCGCGCCGCGCCCGCTTGGACATGCACAATTCCGCAATGCGCTCGCCCAGCACGCCTGCCATCCGCTTCTGCGCCCCCGCTGGCACTGGAGCTGCTGCAGCATGACGGCCTCCAGCTCGCCCACCGTGGTGCCAAGCCCGCCGCTGACGTCGTGCGCCATGGCCTGGCCCGCGGGCCGCGGCGGCGGAGCCTGGGGCGCCTGCTGCTGCAGCTGCGCCAGCTCGGCCTGCAGCGCCACCTGCTGCTCAAGGAGGTCGGCATGCACCTTCTCCGCGCGCTCAACCTCCTCGACAACCCGCCGCAAGGCCTCCTGCGCCTTCCACTTGTTGCCCTCCGCCTTCTCCAGGCGCTCGGCGCACTGCTTGGCTTTGTTGGCGATGGCATGCGTCCGTGCGTGGAGCGGCTTGCTGGCGAAGAGCCGTGCCTTGGCCTTCTCCAGCCTGGCGCGCAGCTCCTCCCGTGGCGCCGTGGCCCAGTCTGCCGTCTGATCCTTGATGGCCTTCAGGCCCGACTCGCACATGTGGATCTCGGCGAGCACCGCCGCGTCGCCCGCACCAGCGCCCTCGCCGTCGTGGACCTCCATGGTTTGCGCCCCGCCGAGCGGCCCGCCAGCGCTGACAGGCCCACCGGCCTTAAGCTGCTTCTTGAGGTCCGTAAGCTCGCGCTGCGCCTGGGCCAGCTGCACCGAGAGCGGCGGCCCAGCCAGCCCAGGGAGGGGCCCTGCCGCTGCCACCGAAGGGAGCGGGACGCTCGCCCCGAAGCACGTGGCCTTGGTTGGGCAGCCTGCAGCCCTGATGCTTGAGCGCCGCCCCCCGGTCGACGACCGCTCGCCCTCTCTTGCTGACGCAGGACTTGCACGTCCAGTCCTGCCGCACGGCACCCTTGGCCCGCGGCGCGCCGCCAGCCATCTTGCACACGGTGCCGCCCTCGCCGCCGCGCCTCCAGTGCCCGCCAACGCGAGGAGCCGCCCGCGCGCCAGCACGGGCGATGGTCCGAACCTGAGGGGGCATGCCGCGCGAAACGAAAGCTGCCGCGGACTGGCGGTATCCGTTGGGCCCCCGCGGGAACCGCACATCTTGAGCCACAATGGCTACGGAGGAGGAGGAGGAAAGGAGGAGGAGGAGGAGGAGGAGGAGGACGAGGAGGAGGAGGAGGAGGACGACGAGGAGGACGACGAGGAGGAGGAGGAGGAGGAGGAGGAGGAGGGCGGGGAGGAGCGGCGGCGGCTCAGGCCTTCTCAACCCGTCGTAGGCGTTCTCGTTGCCCCTGGGGCAGGGCGGCAGGATGGGGCGAAGGGGGGGGCCGGAGGAGGGTGCTCTTTCGTCTGCGCATGCGAATGCAAAGAGGGAGGGAAGAGATGGCGTAAGTTTTCCCCCTCGCAAAGACCTCCTCTCACCTGGCCACATCGATTCGAGACGTCGCTAGGCAAACCGGGAGTGCCGTACGAGCCGACCTGCAATAGGCAGACCGTGGGGATGGCGTAAATGGTGCCAGGGCAAAGTGGATCGAATGATCGCACCGCGTCGCCGATACGCCGCCGACGTCGGGACGGATAATACTGCGCTCTGGATCGCGCCGCATCGCCGATGCAGCAGCGATGCGGCGCGATCCTCTGACACCATCTCGCCTTCACACTTCCCTGCTCGGGAGAGCACGCCTGGGAATCGGCCCAAGACGGGCTGGTCAAGAGTTCACATTCGTGCGAGCTTGCATCTGCGCTCTAGTCCTAATTCCACCAGCCCTCTGGGCGTAGGTGGTCTTGGGAAGCTCCTCTTGCAACCCCTTTCTCCCCCTTCGGGGGAAGGGTTTGCCCCCTCCCCCCCCCTCCCCTGTACCTGAGCGGGGCGCCCCGCGCGGTGTCAGAGGGTATCGTTTCGCCCAAGACGGGCCGAAGAGGGCCTCAGAGAGCCCACGATGACCTCCAAGATGGCTCAAGATAGCCTAAGACGCCTCAAGATGGTTTCCACAATGCTCCAAGAGGCCCCAAGAACGCTCCAAGACGGCTCCAAGATGCGAGACTTCCCAGGAGGCCGCCAAGATGCCACCATCCTAAAACAAAATACCGATGGCACATGCATGATTTGTGCCTTCTCGCCTTTTCGCTTCCGCGGGCCTTCCGAGGCCGCAAGACAGCTCCAAGAGGGCCCATGAGGGCCCCAAGAGAGGCCTGAGAGAGCCCCAATACGGCCCCAAGAGCGCCCAAGAGCGCCCCGAGAGGGGTCCAAGAGGCGATATTAGAGGCTCTGGAGGGGGGGGTACTTAGAGCTCCCATGTTTTTTCCCGGTTCGCATGGCGCCACCGCACCCATGTTGGCACACCCCTCACACGGTTCGTGGCCCCGTGGGGAGCTCCACCGAAGGCCCGAAAGGCAGGGTTCGCATGGCGCCACCGCACCGATTTCGTCACGCTCCTCACGCGTTTCGTGGCCCCAATGGGGAGCTCCACCGAACGCCCCAGTGGCAGGGTTCGCATGGCGCCACCGCGCCCATTTCGGCACACCCCTCACACGTGTCGTGGCTCGATAGGGAGCTCCACCGAAGGCGGGGCTCACAACTGCGGTACTCACAACTTCATATGGTTGGGTCTTTCGCCCGGGTACTTGATCGATCTTCTCCAAGATGGCCACAAGAGTGCTCTCAAGGCTCCCAGGAGCGCCTCAAGAGGGTCCCAATAGGCGCATAGGAGGCCCCAAGAGGCGCCCAAGAGGCCTCCAAGAGGCTCTCAAGAGACCCCCAAGAGGTCCCCGACGCCCCCAAGAAGCTCCAAGGGGCCCCCGGAGACCGCCAAGAGGCCCCCAAGACGCTCCCAGAGAACTCCAAAAAGCTTCCAAGAAACATCCAAGGAGACTCTGAGAGGCAAACAAAAGGCCCCTGGCCCTTTTGCTCGCACTTATTCTCTTCCGCCTCCGTCTCCTCCTCCTCCGCATCATCCGCCTATTCTTTTTCCTCCTCCCTCCTCCCTCCTCCCCCCCTTCCCCACCCCCACCTCTTCCTCCTCCTCCCCTCCTCCTCCACTTTCTCTCTCCTCCTCCTCCTCGTCCTCCTCTCCTCCTCCTCGTCGTCCTCTTCTTGTTCCACCTCCTCATTCTCCGATTTCTCCTCCTTCCGCCCCCTCTTGGGGTAAGATGGTTTCTCCAGCTCTTTGTTCATCTGTGTGCTCCCCCACTTCTCTGATCAGGGCACCTCGTCTGGGCATCGTTTCTGGATGGGCTGCTGGGGAAACGCGACGACGCGTCAAGAATCGCATATCTTTGTCGTGGCGTGGGGCACCAGGGATTCCGACCACTTTTATGGCGCCACGTTGTCATCCCGGGTCGTATTTCTATTGTCCCGGAGCTAGAAGACGGCCTCGAGGTACAAGCAGGACCACAGACGTACGAGAACTTCGACCCTGTATCGCAACCTCGAGGGCACTGGGAAATCGTAAGATTAGCATCGTAAGCCGGACCGCGCCACTGCCTGCGCAGCCTGTCGCGCTCCTGCAGCAGCTTGCCGTGTTCCTCCGCGAGCAGGTGCAGCAGCTCGTCGAAACGCGGGGTCGTCGCCAGCGGCATGGGATCCTGCAAGAAGCATCGATAGTCGAACTTCGAGGATCGAGGATAGAACTTCGAGAATCGATGCTTGTTTCTGACGTTTCGGCAAGACTCCCATCGAAGCTCGAGACAGAACGCCCCTGGACGAGTCTGTAGGCCAAAGTTTAGGGAGGTTCCTCAAAGTCTGGGCGTCGCAAGACACTCGTCACAGCCAATTTGCGGCAGTCAAGAGCGACCCGGTAAGGAAAGTCGGTCCCTGGGGAAAGGATCGAGATTCCTGGGCTCACGCCACGAAACATTTGCGGCGAGAAATTAGCGTCGGAAGTGCGACACGCGAGTCAGCATGCGTCGGCCGCTTGTGCTGGAGGAAGGTTCAAGGAGAGGGGAAGCGAGAAAGAGAGAGAGAGAGAGAGAGACTATCATAGAGAAAAGCAGTAATACAACACGCAAGAGATGATGAGAAAAAGAGTGAGAGAGAGGGGGAGATGGGGGACAAAGAGAGAGAGAGAGAAAGAGAGGGATACACACATACTCATATCGGACACGGGGAGAGACAGAGAGAAATAGAGCCCCGCCTTCCCGGCCGAAGCCGACTCCAAGAGGCCCTTCTGGGCAACCAAGAAGACCACAACAGGGCCCCGCGAGGGGCCCAAGAGGGGCCCCAGACGCCCCAAGACGGCCCCGAGACGGGCTGCGCGGGACCCCACGTGAGCTCAACACGGCCAAGAAAGGCGCAGGATGGCCCAGGAGTGCCT